GTTGCCGCCGTTGGGGGGGGGGGGGGGGGGGTTATAGGTCAAGTTCATCCTAGCCATACACATAGGCTAGTGCCCTAAGCATTGCTTAATACTCAATTGGGATTGATTTAGATTTTTTTAAATATATATATATATATATTAGTGGGGTAGCTCATTTATCAATTTTTATATATGAACTTCAAACTAGCCCACCAAGAAAACCATGAGATTCCTCAAAAGTTGCCGTGTATTAGTTGGCTTTATAAAATGTCATGAACATTCATCAATTTGAAACTAAAATGGCTCTTAATTTGTTAATTTTTTCTTTTTGTTTTTTGTTTTCCTAATAAGAAAAGGTTGTAAGGACATCCACGGTGTACTCGGATAAATTCATTGTATCATTGCGTAATTCACCAAACATGTCGGGATCGGTAAAAATTCAAGACCTTAACAAGAATCACTATAAAAATTTTCATAACCGCATTGTTAAAATATAAAATTATTATTGGCCCACCTCTGAATAGCTTAAATTTTTTGAATGGATTGATAAACTAACATGGTATTAGAGCGGAATGTCCTAAGTTTAAACTCCCGTAATTACACTTTTTATCCCCATTTAAAATTATCATTATGTGTTAGGTCTTTAATATATCTCGGACTTAAATATTCACGTGTTGGGCTTTTCAATTAATTTACCCACACGATTGCCCATTGTCCAGCCCACACGTGAGGGGGAGTGTTAAAGTATAAAACTATTGTTGGCCCACCTCCTAATAGCTTAAGCTTTTAGGATGGATTGATAAACTAATGCGCATGATATATTTTCTTAAATTGTGCATGTATGTACCATTTGTATGTTCGTAGCAATTGAGAAACTCATACTAATTCGCCTCACGAACAAAATTTGGTGTATTTTCTTTATAAGTTAGGGTCTTTTCTCGTAAGATCAGTTTATGATCGTTAAATCTTATTAAAATCACATCACATTAAAAAATTATATAAAATATACAATTTTTTATACAAATTTAACAATTGAAAAATTGAGTCGTTTTAGAAGTTACTTTTTGAGTGCCTACTAGAGAAATGTCGTATTAAGTATTCACCATAATTTGTCTGTCGGCTGATGATTCTTTTGTACATGAAATAAAGAAATTCCTTTGGTAGGACAAAAAAACTAAAATGGAAATATGGTCAATTCTTATTTTTAGTCATTAAATATGTATTATAAACTATCTATTTTACATTTTTTTTAATTTAATAAAATTTTGATTAGATTTATTAACGATTAAAAATTAAAAAGTGTTACCAAAAAATGTCCTTGAAAATAAATATCTGGCCTAAAATGTCCTAATCTGTGGTATATCCACCTAGTACTGTCGATAAATATATAAATATATATAGAAACAAAATTTTGGGCGTCAACATCAAAAGACAGGAACTGAAAGAGACATTTCATTGAAAAATACGCATAGAAAAACAATTTGGGTCATGGGCTGGGCTACCTAATATCAACTTGCATGATCTTGCCGAAGATGAAAGGATGTATCTTTGATCGGAATGGTCACTAAAACAAGTGGCACTCTTTAAATATTTTACAATGTTGCGTGTGTAGTCTCAACTCTTTGTCACAAGGAGAGAGAGAGAGAGAGAGAGAGAGAGAGAGAGAGAGAGAGAGAGAGGTAAGGTCTTGATCATCAAACACTTTACAAAACCTCCTCAACAATAAATAAATAAACACTTTGCTAATGGGGCATTTATTGGTGGTAATAAATAGTCTATATATACCACCATCTTTTGTGACTTTAGAGGGGGAGGTAAGTAGTCACCTAACAAGTGTGTGATATATTTCAATTGTTACCATTGACAATTATCTATTAATCTATAACAATTTAATAATACATAGTGATAAGAATTTAATTTTATTAATTTTTATAAATTTATTATAATTACTAGATCAATATCTCAAGTTAAAACAACAATATCATCCATAGATAAATATTAAATTTAATGAACTTCATCATAACTTTTTGTTGGATTGTTTGGTGTATAACACGTACGTTGGTCTGAGTTTCTGACTTTGATCTGCGTTGAATTAACTAGTGGACTTATTATAAATTGAAAGATTCTATTTCGTACACTGTTGGAAATGGTTTGTTTAAATGAGCCATCTTCCGTCTTTAATGGTTTGTTTAATAGCTCTCCTCTTTAATTTTCTTTTTCTTTTTCAACAAAGCAGCAGCCGGCAGATATCAAACATTTACTTAGAATCCTTGTATATATTAGCAACTGATCAAGACTACTTAAAGTATTAACTTTTCGCGTTTGTTTGATAAAAGTTTTGAAAACGGAAATAAAAACAAAAAATAAATGATCAAATTTTAAATTCAAGATAAGATCTGTAGCAATTCATCAACATGATCAATATAAAGTGTGATCTTGAAAAGTAAAGAAAGGACCATAATCACCAAAAATGTCGGTATACAAAGCAGTATCTTAAAAATAAAAGTGAAAAGTGTAACATAATAATTTAACGAGCATAACCTTACAAGCGAGAAGTGTAACATAACATCACTCATACGAGGAAATTAGTTATCCAAACTCCTGCACTTTTTGAATATCAATGTTGTATCAAATATAATATTACATTTCTCACTTTCTATATGTTTATGGCAGAACGATCACGTCCGTACAGTCCGGCAAAGAACCTAACAACTTGTTAAAGAGTACAATTGATCTTACACCACTCTTGCATATTATTTACTTTCATGACATGATATAGTATTGGAATAGCTAGGTGGCCCAATAAGGTAGGCTATGTGGAGTCACAAACTATGCGATATGGTACTTCTTTTTAGCCCGAACAATTTACCTACATACATAGCACAAACTAAAATGAGATGGTACTAAGTGAAGGCTTGTTTGAAACCAAAAGAGAATTATGTGGCCTTTGAAAATCACGAGGGAAATAGCTTACTCGTGAAGATTACACATAATCTTAATCACAAAGAACATAATTATTAACAGAAATTCATACAGTATTAGAAAAGATTTTGCCCAAAAGAGAACTTACTCAAAATTTAATTTCTTCAAAAGGGAATGATTTTATGCTCTGCCAAGGAAATTAAATCGACTCATTAACATACAGATAGATAAGTAATACTAGAGTAACTTAAAACCTGTTTGGATTAGTTTAAAAAAGTTATTTTTAGTTTACAATTTAACGTGCATAATCTTACAAGCGAGAAGTGTAACATAACATTACTCTTACGAGGAAATTAGTTATCCAAACTCTTACACTTTTTGAATATCAATGTTGTATCAAATATAATATTACATTTCTCACTTTCTATATGTTTATGGCAGAACGATCTGGTCCGTACAGTCGGATAACTTTAAAGTATTTTTAACTAAATCGACTCAGTAACGTAGGGATAGATAAGTAATACTAGAGTAACTTAAGGCCCATTGGGATTAGTTTTTAAAAAGTTGTTTTTAGTTTACTTAGTCTAAAAACCGCTTTTGAATCTGTTT